TAGATATTTGAGTATGTTTATAATTTTTTAATGTAAATTATAAAATTACATATAATTATCTAGTCATGCAGTTGAACCAGAGACCCACTGGTTGAACCAGTAACTCAATAACTCAGCACCTCGACCGGGTCAATGACCGGGTCGATTTTAATAAGATTGCCACAAACTATATGACTTTAGAGATTAAAGCTAAAAAAATGTTATCACAAAACGACTTTTATTAGTCCACCCCCTACTTGATAGTTTTTTTTTTTTTTTAAATTTGATGGGTCCCACGATGTTTGTGAGTCAGAAAAATCTATCTTCTTTCATATAGAAATTTGACACCCACGATTTGATTTTGGTGCAGAACATTGTTTTTTTGCCAAAGCTGGAGATTAATGAGATAGACTTACGGCTAACTTATGTAACCTCATTCTAAAGTGCGTTATTTTTTTGGGAAATTATACTGTTATGTTGAATAAGATTACTCTCTCATTTTACACTCACATAAAAAGACGTGTATCTCTTTTCTTTTCTTTTTCTTTTTTTTAAAATTGATGGGCTCCACTTAATTTATCTCACAACATGAGATAACTTCTCTCCTACAACATGAGAAAAGTAAAACCCTATTTTTTTTTTGTCTTTTGGGAAGGATGAAAAAGAACGACAACGTGGACTGCTAAGGTTTTGGATTGAACAGAATCCACTTTCAAGATAACAGTAATATCATTTCATTTTATGAATATTTATATTTTAATATTTCTTCAATTTAGTATTAAATTTAAATTTAATTATCATTTTTTTGAGATATTTCAACTGATTCATTCCTTCCCAACTAGTTCGATTCGGAGCAGATCTTTAGATTAAGACTTTAAATCTCTTCTAAAAATAGTATCGGAGAAAATCAAATACATGTTCTTACCCTCACATGTTTAATTCTTTGACAATAATTAAACTACCATAATTTGGTATTTAGATTTAATTTAAGCGGTATAAATTACATGAATTTTGCGTTTTTAATATTTTTTGTTTGCCTTGTTTTTGTAGGCAGGAAATAAATGTAAATGATAAACTTAATAATAAATCATTCAAATTAGTATATCTTTCATTCGATAAGTCATATCATGATTAGTACTCAAGCTAGTTTTAAATTCAGATTATTAAAAATATTTTGTGTAATGTAACAATCTTTTATATATTTTAATTCAAGTTAAGATTTCCCATTTTTATTTTATCTTTCAATTAAATGTTTACTAAACAATCTTTATTCACTCAAATGTACTTTTTCATAAACAATTATAAGTTATATGGCAATTTTATAAGTACATAAGAAGTAAATGTATAAATATTGATAGTATGGTGAAATTATAAATAAAATATACATGTACATACTTGTGGTGCGCACATGAGCAAATTCAGGCCAGTTTAAATTGAATTGTTTTTTAAAATTCAGTCCAGTTTAAAATTAAAATCGAAAATTAATCTAGTCAAAACAAAAAAAAAATCAATTTTTTTATTTGGGAAAGTATTTATCCTTTTAAAGTGTGTTATTTTAAGTGAAATTAAAAATGTTACTTAATATTTAAATTAAAAAAAAATCACCAATAATCTATCACCCTCTCGTGGAATGATTTTCATTGTGTGACGAGTCTCTTTAATCATAAAATATATTTTTTATTTAAAATAATATAAATTTAGGGTTTAATTTTTTTTTTTTTGCTGCAGAAAAAATTTATCTGCCACACTTATATAAAAGTTAGTGGATCCCACTAATTTTTTCCTTCTTATATTTTTAATGGGATTCACTCACTTTTATATGAGTGTGATAAAAAAATTACGTAACAAAAACAAAAAGATTTTTTCCCATAAAATTATGTCTTTTTAAATGAAAAATAATTTTTTGTTAAATTAAATAACTTTTATTTTCAATTTGTTTTTGAATTGAATAGATTTATAAATACAAATAACTATGGGTGTCTATTTTTAATAAGATTTTGATGGATTGGATTTTTCACCTCAAAATCAATATCATAACTAGCCCCTGATATATTTTTTCAGATTATATTATATTATTTTTTTAATTTTGAATGCTTTAAAAATTATAAAAAAAATCAATTTAAAAGTAAATTAATCAACGTTCAAAAATTAATAATAGACAAACAAGGTTTTTTTTTTTTTTTTGGTGAATAGACAAACAAGGTTTTGTGATGTATATATTTCGTTTGCGACTTAATGGAAAACGGTAAAAAAAAAAAACTCTTAATATATTAATTAAAATTTAAAGGCAAATTTAGGTAATTTCAAAGTTTGTAATGATACATTGCAAGTGAGATAAAAGCTAACGAAACTGTAATGTCATTGGAAGAAAAGCAATACATTGTTTGTGCATAGAAATAACAAGTGGTCCTATGAGAATATCCCATGCCACCAAAGTGAATACACTTTTAGGGCCCTTTATTGCCAAATTGGAATGTGGGAAAGTTCCTAAAGCCAAAAGAAAGTGAGTGGTTGAATCAATTTGAAGAGAGTGTTGTACACAGCTGGATGAATTATTCAACTAAAGATGGGGACTGATTTTCGTTTTGGTTTTCAGAATGCACTTTTTTATTTTATTTTTCTATGATAAATCATGCGGGGCAGAACCATAAGACGCCCAACCAATCACCCATTCGGGACAGGGACAACCTTCGCCGCTCCATGTATATATAAATACATTATTAATTATTTATATCAACTTACCACGTCATCATTTTTGTGGCACTTATTAATAAACAAAAATGTCCTAAAATCATTTCAAATTTAAAGGGCTAAGTGAATCAGTAAACCGGTTATATAATCGATCTGGTTGAAGCAACGGATCGGCCATGCATCAGAACCGGTGCGACCCGGTCTGACCCGGTCAATTTTAATAAAAATCGGTAACCCGGTTAGTTAACCGGTGACCCGGCCTAGTCCAAAAAAAATATATTATAATGGACATATTTGGATTTTTTTTTCTTATTGTCATACATAAGTTATGTACCTACAACACTAATATTATCTCAATTATGCACTATGCAAAAAATTTTGATTTGATTTATAACTAGAGATGTCATTTTCTGAACCTAAAGCATCGTATCACGATCTATATTTTTATTTGATCCTTTATTGGATAATAATATAAGATTTATTATTTTTATATTAAAATATTTGAAATTTTTATTATTTTTTTAGATATTTGAGTATGTTTATAATTTTTTAATATAAATTATAAGATTGCATATAATTACCGAGTCATGCAATTAAATCAATGACTCACTGGTTGAACCAGTGACCCAGTACCTCAACTGGGTCAATGACCGAGCCGATTTTAATAAGATTGAAAAATAATGATTTTAACAACTTTTGTCAGAATAAAATAGTTAATTAGTATTGATTTTATATTACCAAATTATTAAAGAAAACATAAGTAAATTAATCAAACAATAATATAATTTACTATATATAAAAATGATTAGTCCTTAATACTAATAATACTGATAAAAAAAAATAAACAGTGTAAGTATGTATTTTTAAAGTCTTATTGAAAAAAAAAACTTTTTAAACTAAACACACTAACAAATTTATAGCAATCATCTTTCGACACTTATTAATATATTCAATATTTTAATGTGCTGACGGACTTGTAATTTTTCGGGAAAACAATGGCCTGTGTAAGCTAGCATCAAGACTTACATTATTATATGCACAACTTGGCTTCTGGCTGCTTTCTGAGATGCCGATTCTAAAACCTAATCAATTTTCAAATAATAAATAAATAAACAGAACAAGTAGATAATGTTGTTTATTAGATGTTCGTTGAAGATACGACTGTAACATATGGAAAAGGTTAGGATTTTTTTTATAATAGGAGCAAAATTAAAAATTAAAAATTATTTGTTATATTAATTCCTAAAAAAATGATTTGTTATATCATTCATCCGTTAAATTCGTCTGTTTTGTTTTCCCTCATCCGCAGGCCTAAGTTAAAATCATTTGAATATAAAAATGCATGTGAAATTAATTAAGGGAATGTTTGGTTGGAGGATTTTGATGAAAAAGATGGGAAAATGTGAAGTGAGATTATAAGGTGACTAGGTTTGGTTGAACAATTTTGGAAATTTGGCTACGTAAATTATATTGCTATGAAACTGACTTGTATATGTATCTGTGTCCAAATAGCCGGCGAAAGTTTTCCTTTTCAGATGTGGTATTGTGCTTTTGCTACCTATGTATCTGTCGTTTTTTTTTTTTAATTTGGAGGTTGCAAAGGATACCCCTCTTTAACGGGTTAAGGGTAGCATGATCGATTGAATTTTTTTTAAATACAAGGTTATTTTCGTAATATCAATTATTTTTCCCATCTATATTTTACCTACACTCAAATATAGACTTTATAAAAGTTACCTAATTTCCCCATCAAAATTTTATCCAACCAAACAATTTTTTTACATTTGCCTACCAAACTCACATTCCAACAATTTTCCTGTTAATCACATTTCTCTATTATTTATAAAAATTTATCTTCAACCAAACGCTCCTAAGTGGCATCCATTTGTGATATTTCTCCTTCAAAACGATGATGTTTTCATACTATTGAGGACATCTTTTTTATTTACTCTATTATACTCTTTCACCTACTTCAAGTATCTTCATTGTCTCAACATTTCATTGTTGCTGCTGCAGGCGATCGCGGCTCATGTCGTATTACTGTTTGCGATTAAAAACAGTTCTCACTTTTAAAAATTTTATTGTATTTCAAATAATTTGTCACTTTAAAAGCTAACAAGACATTAATTACTTCTTTTCTTTCTTCATTCTTATGTTTTTAGTATCTCCATCAAGTGGAATAAGAAAATATCAATGGAGTGAGAGATAATGTAGCAAATGAACTTATACTTTTTCAACATTGAGAGTACTTAATGATTTTTCTAAATCTAACAAAACAATTATTTTAAAAGACATGTAGTATTTGCTATGCTAAGCAAGCATTACTGGCGGCGTTACACAGAGGGCATGGATTCAAAACAAATGAATTATACTCTTAACAAAAAAGAAAAACTTCAACAAAAATTATACTCTTAAAAGGGGGAAAGAGTCAATAACCATACAAGATTAAAAAAGAAAAGAAAAGAAAAAAATCTGCCCTCGCCTAAACAAGAACAGCTCTCCACATTGCATCCATTTTGTACAGTCGCGTCAACTTAGAAACTACCTCACCATTTTATAATCTTTACACCATAAAAAGGCTTGTATAGTCATTTTATCTCCTCTGCAGGGGGCATCAGGTGTATTCAATATCTGAACCTCTCATCTTCGCTTAAATTTCTATGTATAAACCTCAAAGCTACAAAATGTACAGTTCTGCAATACAACCGACAACTTTATTTCCAAACGGCTATTACCTATCTCGAGATAGATAGTAAACATAACCTCTTGACGTAGGAGAGAAAGAGGGAGAAGAAGAAGCTCACACTATCCTCAGTTAGCTGTACAAACAACATTATTTTTCTATGCCACCTAAGCAGGTTGAGAAGACTGAGCAGCAATTCTCCTTTCTGCAACAAATTACATAACCGGTTGACAAACTACATATAATACCTAAACATATAATAACAACTCAACAATAATAAGCAGTAGACGACGAGGAGCAACGGTACGTAATGTTGCTCCTTGTGTCTCTTTGCAAAAATACAAAGGTCATGCTGCGTGCCCTCACCCATATCCTCACAGGTTGGGGAGCCTTATAAAATGGGATTCACCCTTCAATGGTACAATAAGCAATAGCAAAATGTGCTGGTGTTTTGCGTATATCTTATGTATGCAATCATTTCATGCGATTATCATATGCATGCATGTATTCAGATAATAAAAGTGTTCCTAAAACATGCACACGGATGCTGAAGCATATAAGAACGAGTGAGAATGAAAATGAGGAATAACATAGAAGAAGTAAATACCTCCAGCAGCAACAAGTTTCTCTACACGTGCGACGATATGCTTTCCGTATGTGTACTTTTTCAATGCATTCAAATGAACCTTAATTCGGGAAAGAATCAGCTCACGTTGTTGGTCATCACAAGTTTCCAGCACCTTTTGTACCACATAGTTTGCAAATTGATCCTTCATCATCGCCTGTATACAAAAGGAATCTGATTTATCATTTTGCAAAACATATTAAGAGGGAATAGCCTCTTTGAACCAGTGACAAACTGGTAGACAAGTTGTGAGAGTTAACTAGCTAAAGCATTCACAACACTGACAATCACAATTCTATTGAAAGAATCATTGGGAAGATATAACCTCCCCTCTGCTTGATAACGAAAGAGTAAGGTGACTGAAATTCAAGACTAAAGATGCAAAAGGACATGGTTCTGTTAAAACACGTGAAGGAAATATTTAATATAAAAATGTTAAACAGATGCTATAAGTCCAGTTCATGTAATAGGGTTGAAAATAATGATATCATTTGTGATCATATATGATTGTATTAAACCTAAAACAACTTTTCCAATGTCACCTACTTCTAAGACACTGCATATCAGCATTGCTTTCTAATTTGCCTCGAATAAAGAATGGGAAGGGGCTAAATATTAGAAGGGGGAAGTTTAAAAAACCTGTAGAGGTTCATTTTCATCTGTGGAACCAAGCATCTCATTCACTAGTAATTGGCGTTCAGAAGGACCTCCAAAGGTCAAACATTTCTCCACAACATTGGAGGCAAACTTCTGTTGACTCATTTGAACTATCTTGCCTGCCAATTCCTTTATTATAGTAGAACGCTCGTGAGGCTTCCCATGTTCCAATACATGCTGTTATTAAGGGGAGAAGAAACCAAAACAAGAGATCAGCTCACAAGTATAAATGACATACTGCATGGATACCAAAGAAAGTAATAGCAAACAGTATCATGTTTAGGAGGAAACGTAATATTGGGCAGAGTGGGAACAGAACCCCATATCATATGAGAAAGAGAGCAAACCTTGGATGCCATGTTAGAAGCATAAAGTAAATAGGACAGGATGTTATACTAACATAAAGCAACAGATTTTTAAAGATAATGAATTATAAGTAACAATTATCCCCGAAGATTTACAAGTGTTCCCAAGACGTCCGTAATAAATGAAGATAAAAATCATAAACAAGAAAACAAGTTTTTAGTTGAAAGGTTTCTTGATATCATTCATTGATAAGAAGAATTCTGTATGTAATACTGTGAAGCCTGCCAAAGGAAAAACTTGTTGGGAGAATAAAGGAGAATAATTTCAGAACACATTGTGACATGAGAATTGTTGGGACTACACTCAACCAAAGTATAAAAAACAACTTCCATCTCTATTTCTCAAAAATGCTTGATTGCAGCCAAGAATGCACATGCAGAAAACCATGCTCAAGTAAACCAAATAAAACACGAGAACTGTAAAAACATAATTCACTACCATGGCAATAATTGCAGGCAACAAGCCCAAACTGTAGTAGTCAGAAAAAAAAAACAACTATAAACCTGAACTACGTAGTTGCCATACTGATCCTGAGCTAACATGCTAACTGCTCCTAAAATCTCATCCATCGCTTTCTGCTGTGTTGTAGGGTCTTTGCAGTGCTCCAGTACTCTCTGCCATGTAGAAGGTGTTATTATATGACAAATGATCTTAGGTACATAATAAAAGGAAGCAGTGAAGAAATCTTACCTGTATGACCCGGCAACCATATGGATGGGTTGAGAGTGTCACAACTTGATCAAAAAATGTTGAGACAATAAAATGGATTGCATCTTCAGGGACACATTCAATACACTTCTGAATGACATGATTACCATTCTGATCGCGGACACAGCGCATGATATTACCATCAAGTTCTTGAACCATCTCTATCTTCTGATCGAGATCAACAACTTCGATAGCCTGATGAAGTATACATAATTGAAAGAACAAAAAATCAATGATAACATACTCAGAAAATTACATATAGAGAGCCGAAACACATAAATATCGACCACTGCCACCCAAAGTTGTAATACCTTCTGGATGACCCGGCAACCATACATTTGAAGGCTAAGGGTCAGAACATGGCCAAGAAGCTTGTTGGCCAATTCTCTTCTCTGGGATACAAGTCCATGCTCAAAAAACTGCAAAATACCAACTATTGCTCAAAATAGATCCACGAAAGAGAATAATAAATTGAAGAGCATAATTACCTTTTGAACCATGTAATCACCGAAGACATCAGTCATCAAAATCCATGGAAGAGAATAATAAATTGAAGAGTAATAATTACCTTTTGAACCACGTAATTACCAAAGACATCAGTCATCAAAGCAAGAGCATGTGGCATGATTTCCTGATAAACCATGTTTTTTTCTTCTGTAGTTGCTGTTTCAAGCTTTTGTTGAATAAATCGGCTCCCATATTGATCCGCACTGCCAATGATAGTAAATTAATTGAATTTAATTCTTCAGGATGGCAAACATCAAATGAAGCATCAAAAGAGCAACACACAAAAAAAAAATATACCTGAATTCAACAACATGACCAGCAATTTCAGACAGCTCAAAACACTTTGTTTTATTGCTTTTGAACTCTTCCAACAGAGAAGAAGCAAATCCTTCATCCATGTTCCCAGTATCTACATGCCACGGTCCCATGACCCCAGCCAAATTTCTCATTCCAGAAGCAAAACGCATATTCAGTTCATTGTGCCTAATAGGACTTCCAGATCCAACTGGAGAAGTGGATATAACAGAGGTTGCCATTGGACTTCCCGGGTAAGACAATCCAACACCATATGCAGGGTTTCCATAATAACCATGATTATTGGAGCTGCCTGATTTACCACCCAGTGGTACATTGTATTGGGACTTCTGAGGTGAGAGGATAGACCCAAGATAAGCTTTCTGAAGCTCAACTAAATTCATGTACGAATTACCAAAGTAGTTCCTGTCCACAGAGGGGTCATTAAGAGCAGCAAGTTGTGCTGCTGCAGCATACTCAGATGTCCTCAAGTACTGAAGATACATGGGATCAACAAAAGGAGAATGAAGAGCGCCACCTGCAATTTGATTTCCCATCCTACCAAGACTATGCGCATCAGATGGAGCAGCGGCTCCAGAAGCCAAACCACCTCCAAGAATTCTTGAGTCCATTCCAGGGGCTACCATTGCTGATGCTGCAGCAACATTTTCAAAAAGGGGTGGCAGATTACCAGTGCCGAGTTGGTTAGTCATCAAGGATGCCAATGCTGGATTTCCACCATACCCACTCAAGCCATAGTTAGTAAATGATGAATTTGTTCCATCTAAAGGCTGGTACTGAGCTGGCAAACTGCCTCCACTAAAATGGGAGGTAGGTGATCCTTTGAAATATGAGTTATTGGAAGGAACAGTAGACTTTTGTAGCTCAACCTGCCTATCCAAGGACAGATTGTTGAGGTCTGACCCACTCCTGCTGCTCTTACCTGAATTTTGTAAGTGCCCTGATTCAGACTTCTTCAAATATGCATGTTGCTTGCCATGATCTTGACCTCGCATACCAAAAAGATATCTCTGGTGATTATCAACGTCTAATTCAACCTGTGATGGCAAATGGTTTTCACCACCTAACACATCATCCGCTGACAAGTTCATACCCGACAATGCAGCCACAAGATCTGCTGACTCATTGATGCCAGATGAAACACCATTAAATGCATCGGGACTGGCAATACCCCTCTTGTCAGAAGCAACCACTCTCCCACCACCAATAGGTGTGAGGCAAGGACTGGGAGCCCTAGCAACAAGTTGTGGATCAGGAGTGGTGCTTCTTGACAAGGAAGATCCGAGCGCAGCAGCGTAAGAATATGAAGCTGCCGGGCCAATAGTTTGGGCTGCAGATAATCCTTGAATATTTGATCCTGATCTTAATGCATCAGTGGCTGTGGGATCACGGAGCACATGAGCCAACTCTGCTTCAGCAGAGCTTAAGATATCAACATTTTCATCAAATGCATTTTGACTGGCTGGACGAGAAGGAAGGCCTGTGACAGAGGTATTACGCCCCATATCATCCTGCACAATTACTGGTTAAATCATGGATAAAAGAAAAACAATGCAAAAATAAAGGAATCTAAGAAAAGGATCAAAGCAAATGTATAATAAATTCAGTCAAAAATGTCAACAATTGATAGTAGCAAGCAAAGTAAATATTGCTACACGATATAGCTCCCGCTGAAGCTTTAAAAAAAAGAAAAAGTAAAGAAAAAAGAATATGCATTGCAATGAAAAATTTTAAAATGCATAAAGAAAAAAAAAATATCTGAATACATCAGATACTGAAAGATATAGCAAAAACATAGGCTGCAAGACCGAAAGCCAAAAGCCATCTTGATGTCATTTAGGGTTACATTAATCAAAACTTAAATTCCCTAAAAAATTACAACCATTAATCAAAACTTTTGAACAAGATCACACATCAGAACATAAAAATCAATATTTAGTGTAAAATAAAATGAACAAAGATCATATGCAACCTCACAAAACATGCATCAATTAACTGTATGATCCATATCAGAACCCAGTCTGTTATAAAGGGTCAGAGATGAAAATAAAAACACAAAACGCCAAATCATACAATCCAAGGGGTAAAAAAAAAAAAAATCAGATGCAGCACAAAGTCAAGGAATCAATTAACAGCACACGGTTAAGCAAGCCACCTGGAAAATTTCTGCAAGACTCTTTTGTTTGCTCCTAAGCCCTAGGCTAGGCAAACCAATCAGTCCATCACCACCCCATTCAGCCGAGCCTCTTGTTTTTTCAGTAGCCACCTCACTCTCTTGCTTCCTCATGTTAAAACCAGGCGGGGTCGAAAACAATGATCTACCACCATTATCATCAGCCCTGTTCACTTTCCTCCTATCTCCAATTCCACCCAAAACCGAAGCTCCACCTTTAAGTCTTTGTTGAAACCTGTAATCCTCCTTGGATAGCAAAGGAGGTGGAAGCCGAGGATTCAAATTCACATTGGAGTAATAGTATGAAAGATAAGCCGGATCAGACCTAAGCTCTTCCTCAGAAGCAAACCCATTCCCATCTTTAGTCCCCTGAAACTCCGAAAAGGCACCGCCTCCGCCTCCGCCGCCGAACAACCCTCCAACTGCATTCAAAGAACCCTCCACAGTTGGAGGCGCTGATCCACTCCTAAAAATATTGAGTTCTCGCTCGCGATCATCAGCCTCCAATCGACGTTGCTCGCGAAGCAACATCCCTATATCCTTCTCCAATTCTTCACCATAAGAACCCTCGTTACTGCCAAGCATCGGTCTTCTTCCCAATTCAGACAACATTCTTCAAAATCTCAACTTGATGATCACACTCTAATCATCAACTCTTGTAGCTAAAACTGATCACTACCCTCCACTAGAAATCAAACCCTAATCCTAAAAACAACCCAAAGATTCAAACTTTTCCCATCAAAGAGCCCAAACGACCATACCCCATATCTGCAACTTCAGAGAAATTTCTGACTAGCAGTTACTAGAAATTAAAATAAAAGATTAAGCTTTCCTCATGAAAACTGCACCGAAGTCATTCCTGAAGCTGAAACAAAACTATCAATCAATAAACGAGAGTGCAAAATTTAATCCAAGTTTCTCAGAGTTGGTTTCCGTAATTATTGACAACAAATTCCTAAGGTATGTTTTCCCATGTGATAATATATATATATATATATATATATATATATATATATATATATATATATATCTAGAAGAACAAAATTAACATTAAAAAGTACGGCAAGGGAAGAGGATACACTGAGTTGAATAATGGTGCACTAAGATCAAAAAGGAAAACAAAAAGAGAGGAAAGATGTTAGAGATCAATCCGGCGGCGATTGGTTCTTACAAGAACCCTTATTAGGGTTTTGTTCCATTCCGTGAAGGATTAAATACAGTGATGATAGTAGCAAACCCACCAAATTTATTTGGTTTTTTTCTTTTCTTTTTTAAGTTTCCAAAGTTACCATTTTTTTTCTGAATCTCGGAAATATCCAGAATATTTTATGTATTTCCTAAACATTAGGGGTAATTGACCAAGTGATAACCGACTAATGCCACTGCCAAAAGAGAGAGAGAGTGTGGTGTGTTATTTTCGTTTTTGCCTCGTGTTCCAAAATAAGAATCTGTGACCAACTGACACGTCTTAGATTCGCTATGTGAGTAAAACGGGCAAAGTACAGTAAATTTCGCACCAGTTACCACTCTCTCCTCAGTTCAGTTATGCTGTGTTGTGTTCCGCAGGTTTTAGTTTTCACTTCTTACTTAGCTACACTTTTCACACGTATTCTTAGATTTTGTTTCTTCCTTCTTCTTTTCCTTGAATTATATGTTATTAATAAGGTAAAAGATTTGTTCAGTAAATTGAAAATAAGTTATTTTCGGTGAACTCAAAATAATATTTTTTTAAGATGGAAATAAAAATATTTTTGTAATTATAATATATTGCAGGATTATATTAGTCTTTATTATTATAATTTTTTAATCTTATAATTTAAAATAATATCGTTTTGAACTCACTAAAAATAATTTTATTTCAAATTACAGTACTTTTTTCAATTACTAATACTAGGCATGCCAGATTTGTGACTGGAGATAATTTTTTAAAGTTGTACTTCCTTTTCTTTAGTTTTTATTTCTCTCTTTTTTGGGCATTGATCTGCAATGGTTAAATTCCTATTTCAAAGCAATTGTTCTTAGATTTATTGACTTTCAAGGGTACTCCTAATTAATTTTGTAACCGCAACCTGAACCTGCTGACCTTTTACTCACGTAGTTAAATGGTCTTAAATGGGGTCACCTGCAAAGAAAGGCCACTTTGATTAATTACAACAGGGAAATATAGCTATTATGTAGTAGGAGAAATTTGTTTCTCCTATAATAAATTAACATTATATATTATAGGTAGTACATAGTTATAAATTTAAAAATTATTTTTTTTTCTCTTTTTATAAACTGTCAACTGACATAACAGAAAAAGAAAAATTAATTTTAATATTATAATTATATATTATTTATAATATATAGTATTAATTCGTTGTAGAAGAAGTCATAGGTCATGAGAAGTTGAGGACCTATTACAATATCCATTGTTTTTTTTTTTCATAACGTGTAGTTTAATGAATGATAGAGGTAGTAATGCTGATTAAAAATTTGCATGTGTATGTCATAAAGGCATTTTTAACTCCAAGCATGTATAGTCCTGAAGCACATAAAAATTGTGTAGACCTTTTTTTTTTTAAAGTCTCTCTCACGTATATATTATTACAAAGCTATCGTTTTACTTTTTTAATTTATTTGAAGGTATAAAGTTTTTTTCTTGTTCTATTTGACTAGTTTTGAATATTCTCGGTCAAGTGGTCCAGTATTAATCAGTATTCTTATACCCAGCAATAATACTGTAATCTGATTTATTATATTAATACTTTAGCATTATAAAACGAAGTAATTAGTTAGAATTATAATTTTTAACAAATGTGTGAGTTTATTTATTTATTTTAATATCTTCACATGTTCATCAATTAATCTATTAATTTTGTCAAACTAGATAGAACCACAAAAGTAACATAACTCTTCTTATCAAAATTTTAACATAACTGTGTATATAATACTCGAACTTGAGACCATAAATTAAACTGAAATAATCTCATATTAATTAATTTATGTGCTTGGTGATTTCTTTTAAAAACAGAAAGACTTAATGAAAAACGTAATAAGGGTGTATTTTAAATGTTTCAATGAGTTATAAGTTTGAAAGTTTGCTTATAGATTATTTTGCATGAAAATGAATATTTTTATGTAACATTTTTGAATAATAAAATCATGCGAAGAAAAAGATGAATAAAAAAACAAATAAATTTTCACAAATTTTAATAAAACCTCACTTTTTTATAATATTTAAGTCTATCTCTTTTTTGGATGACTTTATCAAATAAAATTTTTATATAAAATGATTAATTTTCCAGCTTCTGTTAGATAGAACTGCTCAAATAAGTAATTGGACTTAAGTTCTTACGTTTATTTATCGAAAAAGTTTTGCAAAAATTAAAGCAAAAGCACCACACAAATGTAATTGCGTAAAAGTATTGTCCAGTTTATGCACATGTACAAGACCAGTCTAGCACCTGTCAAATACGTGACTTTCTTTCTAACATGTAGATAGTGTTGGGAAATTCGTTCCCTCAAACTCCAATGTCAAGCAGGTCCAGGGAAAGCCCGTGGCGGGGAACTACCGTCAATGAGCTAAGGCTACACCAACCGTAGCAAGTGGATCTGACACCATGTCTCAACCCAAAACCTTAAGGCATTGGGTTCATGGGTCCTTTCACTTATATACTCTTCACTTAGCTCGTTACCAACCAATGTGGGGCTCATCACACTTGAATATCTCAACAATCTCCCCCTCAAGTGTGAAACCCACCATTGGTATGCTCCCCCTCAACCGAGTACGCGCAAAGTACTCGACCCGCCTCCTAGCCAATCACTAGGCTAGCTCGAGCCCAATCCGGCTCTGATACCACTGTTGGGAAATTCGTTCCCTCAAACTCCAATGTCAAGCAGGTCTAGGGAAAGCCCGTGGCGGGAAACCACCACCAATGAGATAAGGCTACACCAACCGTAGCAAGTGGATCCGACACCATGTCTCAACCCAAAACCTTAAGGCATTGGGTTCATGGGTCCTTTCACTTATATATTCTTCACTTAGCTCATTACCAACTAATGTGAGACTCATCACACTTGAATATCTCAATTCGTGCATCATTTTCTTCTGGGACTAGTGACGTGGACTCAATTCGTGCACATGTGTTGTGCGAGAATGATGATGTGAAAAAAAGTCATGCATAAAGACAGTGCGGAACTGCCTACGTGGCAGAAAGTCTCATATTTTACATGTGTGAGACTGGTCTTGTACTAGTTGATTGCATGTTTAACTATACTGGCTGAAAAAAAATTATCCCATATATATTAACTGGACAATTTTTTTGTCCAACTGGGTTTATATGGTGCTTTTGAGCTAGGAAATACCGACACACAATTTTCTAATAAAAATACGTGTCGGACATAGATACGCTCTAACACGTTCACATTAATTATTCCAACACGCGTTTTTGAATGTACCCGACACAGTCAAAAGGTAGAAATGTAAAATTTTCAAAAAAATTATAAAATTAAAAAAAACAGAGCGACAAAAATCTTGCCGTGTATGGAGATCCATACCTTGTCAAAAGCAAAACATTTTATCAAACAATTAGATTGGAGATCATTTGTTCCATGTAGTACAGCAGAAACTTGAAGAAAAAAGGACCACTGAGCCTTGATTATCGTCAAACAACATGATGGGTAGTTTGTCTTGGTTAAAGATATTGTAAGTTGCTCCACCTAGTTCATTGCATCGCTTCGGGGTTGTGACTTGTGACAGAGTAGCAAAGATATGAACTTTTCGTGCAGGCAGCGAGTAGAAGCTTGAGTTGAAGCGCCCAACACTACCAGGAGCATGAAGCTGAATAGCCATTGAAACACAAACCCTTCGAGCCGTGGGAAAGACTACAACTTTATGCTCCCACAAACAAAGGCAATTTTATTTGTTTTGCTTTTTTGAAAAAATTATTGAATATGTTGTGAAGTCAAAGACAGAGAGAAAATGGTGTGTTTGCTTTCTCTCTTATTTGCTTTTTGTAGCCACTGATATTTTGTGGATTAGCATATTTCTTCTTTCATGTTTTTTTTATTTTTATAGAAAATAGGGATAAGAATATAAAGCAAATTTAATATACCTTGTATAAATAAATAGTATTTAATTTGTTTTTCTAGAAACATTTTAAAAAAGAAAAAAAATGTAAAAATTATTTAATGTAAAATATATTATATATATTAAAAATATTATTTAATATCAAAATGTATCATAACGTATCAAAATTTAATATTTTTTAAATTTAACCTGTCGACGTATCTTGTCATATCATATCCCACATCCCGTATTAGTATCGGTACAAGCCCCAAAATTCAGTCTAAATTGAATCTAACAGAAAGTATCCGTTATAAACCCCTTAAAAAATAACGTGTTTTTTCTCTGTTATTTCTACATCATAATCAAGTTTTCAATTTTTAAGGTACATTATGCATGTAAAAGTTAATTCACTTTTCGATATATGCATGACTTTCTCAATTAAATTTATTTGACTTCAAAATTCTCCTTCAAAATATTGCACATATCATACTTTTTATTTTGTTTATTAAAAACATATATATATAGTACTCTAAATAGGAATTACCAACAATTTTTTTTGGCAAGGTATCCATTGTAACCCCATGAAAATAACGTGTTTTTCCTTTGGTATTTCTGCATCATAATGAAGTTTTTAGCTTTAACACTCCGTGCATGCCCGGTTTGGTATTAAGCCACACTTAATTATAAATGCGGAATAACTTTTTACTTTCAATTATGGCGTCATTATCGTTACCAAGTTGAATTACTTAATTCATTTCAAAAACATTGTCTGTATGTAAATTACAAAAGACAGCTAACTGAAATAACTCAATATATAGACAAGTGTGAGTATCTAAGTCCCGGATCTACAACACGTAGTCCGGACAATATCCTGATACATTATACAATTCAGATAAACTCAAACATAACATAAACCAATGTGGCATGGACAACCCCCATGCTCATCAAATAAGGCAACAAGGCCCAATAGCAGTCTCCAATCCAAAAACAAGATAATAAATGCAAGACAGATCAGCATCCAAGCATATCATCATAAAAACAAAAATATCAGCTAAGCTCTGGCCTCCTGCCGCTAGAGGTCTCAACCTCCACATTACCTGAACCTGAAATATGTGCCCCAAACGTGGGGTGAGATCTCTAAACAGAAATCTCAGTAAGACAAGGGGTCCACAAGGATCTTCCACCCCAAGCTCACTTACATGTGCAA